GGTCTTTTGTTAGAGAAGAACTTCAAATTATTCATCCTAATACAGAATTACCTCCTCAGTGGGTGCTTACAAGTTAGTCCCAAAAGAGAATCAAAGACTCACAATAAGAGACATTCGTGGAATAGTTCAAGTTGGTGTTCCTGGTCTTTTATAAATTAAGAAAATCTTCAGCTTCTTTATCAATCTGGGCTTCTTTAACAAAATGATCTTTAGCTAATTTGTAATATAGCTTATTTAGTTCTATAATAGAATTAAGAATCTTTGAATCATTGCCATACCATGCTTTGCAATCATTTATAGTTTTATTATATTTGTCTTCATTAAGGAATATAGTCATAGCTGAATTTAATATATACTCTTCTGGGTCTTCTGCTTGACGTAATTTTTTAATTCTTTCTTTATAGTTTTGAATAAACTTGCCATCTTTTGGTTTTCTATAATAAAGCCCTGCTTTAACTACATTAATTAAAGCTTGCTTAACTTCATGGTATGTGGGCTTTGTTTCAGATACTTGATCGATATTTTTATTAGTAAATGACATTTGATTATGTGATATGTTTTGATTATCTAAAGTTTTGTATATAATACTTTATAAAATCTTTTCTTTAAATATTAGTATAAAAATGATTGGTGAATATATTTGCCCATTTTATCATAATTCTGGTGAAATTTGTAGAAGAACCTGCATGCGCTCTGAAGGGTGTAGTTATCATTGGAAAGCTAAAAAAAGAGTACCTTGTACTGATTGTAGTAAACCAACCGGTTCAACTTCTGGTCGATGTCCATTGCATATTAGAGGTTATTATATTACCCAATATTATAATAAACTTCAATCAAATATATGAGAAAGAACTTATAATGAAATATTTGGTATACTTCAATTAAATATACAAGAAAAAACTTATGAGGAAATAATGAATACTCATAAAGATACACTTGCAAAACTTAATATTGATCTTTGTAGAAGATGTTTATATCTAATAAAAGTGGAAGATGGAGAATATTGTGATAGTTGTCAACCTGGTTCAGTACTATAATAGAATATATTACATACTAGGACTTCAAAAATGACTTCTCAATAAATGAAAAATCTAGCACATATTTGTTACCCTTTAGTATATATATAGTATGAGATTTTGTGACCCTTATTAAAATTTTGTTACCCTTTGGTATATTTGGTTATATTTTTTGTTATCCTTGGGTCACATTTTTTTGTGCCAGTAAGTGGTGAAGAATCGGCTTTAGAATGAATTCTGCTATAACAAATAATATTTGTATCCTTTTTGATATAAATTTAGTTAAAAGAATATATTCTAGATATACAACAATATTGGTATACTGGTTAAGATTTTTGATACATAAATGATAGCAAATAAGATAACATAAATAATTGTTATCTTTTTGATATAAATTTGAGCAGAAGATTGCATTCTAGATATACAAAAAATAGTAATACTGAGCTAGAATGATGACGCAAGCACAAATTTATTATCATTCGAGTAATGATATGAGCATAAATCTATCCTTATTCAAGTGATGACGTAAGCATAAATCTATAATCATTAATCCTTTTTGATATAAATTTGGCTAAATAAATATGTTCTAGATAAAAATAATTGATTTGACAATGCAAAAGTGAATTTATATGCAAGATTGATATGGGTAACAAAATTTGTGCCAGAACTCCTAAATATGTCCTACTCACACCTATTTTTCCCTCTACATCTCCTACTTTCTCCAGAACAAACTTTAATTTAAATCAATCTACTAACTCTGGATCTGGATCTAATCAAGCACTCAACCTATCAATCTGTATATATAATATACGAGGATATAACACTGACCTTAAGCAACAAATCTGGGTAGATTTCTGTCTTTCTAATAACTTAAATATCATTAGTATTACTGAAACTAAAATATCAAACACCAATCCTATTATTAAATTACAAAGATTTAGACACTTTACCTACTACTGGTCTTGTACCAATAGTTCTAAAGCTGGTACTGCTATTATAATTAACAACTGGATCAAACCCCATATTCACAAAATCCTTACTATCTCAGGATATGCAATTGCTACAGATATTTTCTTCAAACA